CCATTTTGTCCAGTACCTATAATTTTGATGCTCATGTTCGTTTTCTTGTTTCTTGCTATTTTTTATTTATATTAAAAAAAAAAAGAAAAAAGAAGAAGAAAGTAAAGACCCTTTATCTAGGAGTAGAAGCAAAATAATTATCCTGCAATTTACTAAAAACTTCAATAAAAAAGAAAGAGAAAAAAAAAGAGTAAATCAAAACATCGGAGATAAGAGAGGGCAAGCCCCAAAAGCTTAAATAAACTTTTGAAGGCCCAAAAATGTCAAAAATTCATCCGAAATTCTTTTGTAAGGTCAAAACAGGAAAATCGAACCATACCTTGACCGAAACAACGCCACACTCCTAAATTTTAATAGGCATTTACAAATTATTCTTGATTGTAGTTTAGTTCAAAGAACCATTTAATCGCATGAGATTTAATGGCTCCCACATACTAAGGTGTCCGCTTCAACGGCAACATCTTATACCATTTTTTCTTGCGTGGAAAATGGCTGGTGATTGTTGTTGGGAAATGAATATAGTGCTCCTAGGATGAGTGTTGACTGAGGTTTACATTTAAAACGGTGACGCTTATATGAGGGCTGTGGTTTGTGTAAGGCCGAGGCCTTAAACATTCAAAGTAGGGCGCCTTTCAAATAATGCCGAAATATATTGTTTGGTATCATAAATCCTTATGATAGCCTAAAATTTATTTTCATCTCTAATTATAAAATTTAAAATTAATAAATAGTGTAGATCGAACAGATATATGATAATATATAATACATTACAAGATGAACTATTTCTAATATTTGAATTTTTATTTATTTTTTATGTTCATACATCTTGAGGTTGAGATGATCAAAGTGAGGGTTTTCCGGCATCGAAACAATATTTTCTAATGAATTTCTGTGGTGCATCTTAATTTGATTGTTAGGGACCTCACCTTTACATAAAATTTTTCCTTATATAAGGTGTCCTCCATGTATTGTAGAAGAAAGAAGCACTCCTAAATTTTGCTTGGAGATGGAGTTCCTCATTCATAAATCTTATGGTGACTTGAAAATCTCTTTTCATCCTTAGTTTTTGAAAATTTAAATTGTAACAGTAGTACATATCAAGTAGATTTATAGGAACTTGAAAATAGACGGACCAGACAATTTGTTATAAGATGTAGTATTTTTAGGACTTGAAATTTTTTTCTCCCTTCATTTTCTATATATCTTGAGGTCGAGATAATCGATTGGGGGGATTACCAATATCAGAGCACTCTCTTCTAAAGAATATTTGATGTGTACCTTACTTTAATAGTATAAGGTTGACACCTTATATAAACTTTTTCTAATTTAAAAATATTTAAGCTAGAAAGACTCCAAGGATCAAAGCACCTGCTCATAAGTGAACAAAAAAAAAAAAATCCTTAGTCAAACAAATAAATGTGGCTATTTGGTGTATTGTCCAAAGGGTGAAGTTTTTCGTAAAGCTTGCGGATGTATATTACATGCATCGAGACTAATTTTACCAAGGAGATTTGGGTTGCAGCTCTATGCAGCTGTAGCAATAAGAAATACTTAAAAGTTCATATAAGGGTGAGGTCTTAAACAATCAAATTAAGATGCACCTCAAAAAATTGATTAGAAAAGGTTGTTTCGATGCATAAAAACTCTGAATTCGATCATCTCGATCTCAAGATGCATCGACATGAGGAAAGACAAATTTCAAATATTAGAAATAATGTATCTTATAATATACTATCTAGATCGTCAATTGTCAAGTGTTCATAAATCTGCTTGATCTATACTATTTTTGGATCATCAAATTTTACAAGTTGAGATAAAACATACTTTCAAGCCACCACATTGATTTCTAATAACACTGCAACAACTTGGTGGGTTACTTTGATGGATTAGGGCCTCAACCTTATACAAACCACACCCTATAAACTAATATGAATAAACTACAAATGCAGTGGCATGTTCACACGCAAGAGGGAAAAGGTTGAGTAGCTTTTGCTGTGTCTTTCAACGAAAGCTAGAAAAACGGCCATTAATCACTAAAAGTTTCCATTAATCACTAAAAGTTTGCGCCAAACATTGAAATTGCTACTTTTGCAACAAGACTCGAATGTCTACAGGAACCGTATTCGATGGGGCCGCGGCTTTACAAAGTTACACTTTAATGACCATGGAAACTGTGGAATGACCGTTTAGGTGCTGGAAATAATTGATCTGAAAATTAGAGAAAATAAATTTTAAACTCTTAGAATAATTCATCTCACATGTTTTCCTGATGGTTTAATATAATTTTTCACAAATATGTATTATTTTTGGAGCTTCAAATTTATAGGAAAAGGTATAATCAGTGTTTTAGAAATCGGATCAGTGTGGTGGATCGTTCACCCACAAATCCACGTTAAGTTTTTGGATCGATAATCCACAGCATGAATCGATGATCCATGAAAATATTAAGAATAAATGAAATCAAATAGGGGTTTATAGGGGGGTTACTTAGAATGGACCTAAGAAAACGATTAGATAAGTTTAAAAAAAGGAAAAAAAATTATACAAAGGGGAGTTTTAGGGGGGGAATCGGGCCGTGACCCATACTATCCCAGGAAACAGTTTAGTCGCGATTGATTTCCATCTGAATCGACAATCCAAATAAGAAATCATTGGGTTTTAAAACACAGAGGTTTCTATACTTCCCCTACAGCATAGAAGATCTATGCTTCCCCTACTATCCAGCCATCCAATTTTGATCAAGAGAGCCACTCACCGTTTGATCTTAGGTCTGATGTCTCAAATTATTTTATTTTTAATTTTTTTGTACAAATTGTATGAATATGAAATTTGGTACATGCCATCTTATCATTGGGGTGCAACCTATAAAAAATATTAAAAATAATTTTTCAATAAGATATAATAATCAAAATATCCCTTGAAACTTTCAAAGGTATTTTACCTATTTTATTTATTGAAAATATTTTTTTTTATATATAGTTTTTGCTAGTGCGAGTTTAATAGAGGATTGAACGTATAAATTTGGCATCAAAATAGTTTATAGAAAAAAACTTAAAAATAAAATAGTGTAGAAACGTGACATTGTGATTGGGGCAATCTGAGCCCTCCATTCAGAATGGACAGTTAGATAAGGAGAAGTATATAAGTTTTATGTTGTAGGAGAAGCATAAAAAGCTTGCCCTTAAAACACCGGGCAAAAATAGATTTTCATTCCATATGCTCGGAAACATGTTTTTTAAACAGTAATTTCAGGTGAAGGCTTATCAAGTTTCACAAATTCACATCCCTTCCAAAACGGCTTCAACGTGGAAGTGTGAGCACCTTGTTGATTTTTTTTGGCTTTATTTGTGGAAGGTGGGTGGCACCTTGGAGTCTTAGACAAGGAGCATTTACACCCAAACCACCAAGCCAAGAGGACGGACCCTTTGATGCAAAACTTATTTGCTGGAGAAATGGCCGCTCCCTAACTTCCATTCTTTGATATGCATTTATGGTTTGAACATGATACCTTTACTACAATACATGCATACATTTTAATGGTAGTTTTGAGGGTGGTTTTGTGGTCCTTGCCATTAAGCCAAGAAGCTCAACTATTGTTGAAGTTCCAAACAACATTTTCTTTCCAAATTGTGATATCTAGAAAGCTTGAATTTCAAGCCAAGTTGTTAGTTAGGCGTTGGACCATCACTGGCAAAAGAAAATATAGACTTGAAATTGACCCAACGGTAGCAACCAATCAAAATGGGAGAATATAGTAAAAACTAAATAGGCTAATTTACATAGGGGTAAAGTTTTGGTGCCAACCCCCCAACTTTTTTTTTTTGTTTTTTTTGGGGTAGATTAGTGGGCACAACATGGTCCTATCCGTTTTAGAAGTAGTTAATAGTTCTAAAGGTATTAGTGGGATGGAAACCTACACCCATCAACCCTATTCTTGTGCTTACCCCAACTCCTTTTGTGGATTCTCCTTTCAAAATCAAATCCATTTTTTAGAGATAATTTTGGATTCAAAGCATTACAAGTTTGTCATCTTGATGACCATGACCATGACCATGAATCTAAAAAGAAATTTGATCCTTCTTATACCTTTTTTTGGACCATAAATTTTAGTTATTAAAAGATCATCAGGTCTGCACTATTTTTGGAGCTCATAATTTATAAATTTGTTTTGAGAATAGATTTGTAGCAATTTAAGATGTGTTCCATATCCTAAATCCTGTTAGACCCATGAATTGACAAACTCACCCAAAGCTTCTTATTCACAAAATTCACAAAATGGCCTAAAAATGAAGTGCAATGAGCATCTACTAAACTTGGAAGCCACTAAAACTAGTGCACGGGTCAAAAGAGAACATCCATGTGTTAATTTTGAGAAAAAAAAAATTTAAAAGAAAAGAAAGAGAACATCTTGATTTTATCCGGGATTTGGAAACAAAGGCTAAGATAGATTAGAAGGCCAAAATACAAAATAAAAGAAGATTGAGTTTAGAAGCAGAGGTGATAAAATTTTGAGGGAAAAGCAGCGTGCTGATAATTTGATAATTAAAAATGACTTATTGAATGTGATTAATTGGTGCAATAAAAAATTTAAATTGCCTTAGCGCCTAATATCTTTATGGTTGAAGATTTTACGAATTACATCTTGGTGGTTGGCGACTTTAAATCATGTTCATAGAAAGTTGAATGAAGTTACAGGTTATTTCTAGGTCTTTATTTTGATTAGTGCATTGTAATTTCCATTTTAATTAATGTAAGATAATACTTAAAAAAAGGAGTTTAGAAGGACCATTTTCGTAAATTTTGGCAACAACCGGTGGTTATTTTCGTCTCATTTGGTTTTATATATAATTTTGTCTTAAACCATTGTTGTCTTTTTTTGGTACGAAAGCCAGACAGGGACTTTTACGAAATTTAATGGACTAGCAGGGACATTTTCAGGTTTACTTCCATAAAATTATGTTTGTCTGGAAACGCACTCTTAAAACGTCTCTCTCTATCTCTCTCATCACTTTAAACAAACTCTCTCTTCTCTCTCTACTGTATCTATCTGGTGGTGGTGCGTGGTTCTTAGAGAGAGAGAGGGAGACAGATGAAGCTCAAAAGTGGGGTAAAGCAAACTACCTCGACAAATTAGGGTTTGAAGAGTAAGCAAATGTGAGCAAAAACGAGGCCTTTAAGGATTTCTCTCTCAATGTTCCATGTTGCAGGAGTTTTGCAAGAACCGGTAGGTTTCAGGCATTCGATCCATGCATTCAAATCTATAATCTCGTTATTTAGAGCTTCTCCTGCGCATTTTTTTCAGTATTCTTCTCGAATCTCTTACTTGATTGATGGAAGAAGCTAGGTCTTATCAGCATTTGATTCAGAACTGTAGAGCCAGTGTGTTCCGATGCGTTCTTTGAGTTTTCTCAGAAAATATGCAGAGTTTGGAATTTCTTATTCAGTTTTTTGAAGTCTATGTATTTGAACAGTTTTCTCAGCTGCTTGTCATGGTCGATGTATGCGGATAGGTTTTAAAAGCATTGATTTTAGTTATTTTGATATTCTTCCTGTTATTTATGAAGATGCTGTTTGTGTTTTTAATGTTTTCGTGCAAATCACCATGGAAATTGAAAGAAAATACTAGGCTTTTGGGAGCATTGCGTTTCCGAAATTTTAAATCTTTGCTTCATTTATGAAAAGCTGCTATATTTAGAAGGAACCTGACCCATTTTGTAGTCTGCAATGAGATCAATGATTTACAGATTTAACCTCGACAGATTTCTCTGTTCTTTAAAATCCCTTGACTGCTCATTTTTTTATCTCCTGCCGAAGAAACCGGATCAATAGTAGGAAAGCACGGGGATTTGTTAGAATTGAGAGAATTATACATCACTTCCATGTTCTTTTGAATATTTTTTAAGTAGTTTCCTGAATTTCTATGAGAAATAGGAAGGTCTTTGGACCTTTGACCAATTGCAAGCCAGACAAATTGAGGAATTGGATTATCATTCTTTGCAGATTAAATTTATTAACGTGAGTTGACATATTTTGTGACGTGGAAAACCTTGAAGAATGAAATCTGATACGCCCCTTGATTATGCTGTATTTCAGCTCTCGCCCAGGAGGTCAAGGTAAAGTTTGCTAATTTGATCTGAGAATTGAAATTGACTGGTATAAATTATTAAAAAAAATAAATTTGATTGGTTTGATTTCCACATTCAGGTGCTTCTGGCGTGTGAGGTTTTAAATCTTTTTAATACTCTTTATCGCTGTAGGTGTGAATTGTTTGTCTCTGGTGAAGGCAAGATCGAGAAACTCGCATCTGGGTTGCTTAAGCCATTCACTTCTCAGCTAAAGGTTGCAGAAGAACAGGTTGCCAGAGCAGTTCAGTCAATCAAGCTTGAAATTCAGAAGAATGAAGATGCTGGAACTTGGTTCACTAAAGGAACCATTGAAAGGTTGAATGCTTATCTGTACGGTGGTGGTTGGTTTCTTTTACTGGGTGTTTTTGGTTTTGTGTTTTGAAGTGGTTGTTTAACTTAAAGTTTCCTTATTTTGATATCAGATTGCCCTTTTTCTTCCCCTCCTATTTTCTCTTTGTTTTTTCATTGCAGGTTTGTCCGGTTTGTTAGTACACCAGAGGTGTTGGAGCTGGTCAATACTTTTGATGCTGAGATGTCTCAGTTGGAGGCAGCTCGTAGAATTTATGCACAGGTATTCTTCCAATGCGTTCTCCTTTTTGGATATGTTAGTTCCAGTGCGTCTATAGTTACTCTTAGTAACCACGAAAAAATGGCGTCTCATTTAGGGTGCAGGAGATCAGTTTTCCGATGCAGCAGGTACATTATGAGCTCTCTCCTATGTAAATTTCCTTGACTTTGTTGTTAGTCTCTTTAGCTTGTATTTCATTTTAGATTGGGAAGCTTTTGTAGGAATAATCTTTCTTGCTTTATTACTCTATATATTTCACAAGTTTTAAGTCTCATTCTTCTGATGATCCCTGGTAGCTGTACTGTTCTTGAATTTAATCACCATGCCGGCATACTTGAAATTTTCATATTAATAGGCCATAGCTTGGTCACATCCAATGCTGATGATCTCCAAGTAGTTGCTGTTTCCTTGAAGTGAATTTGTACTTTTTACGATAACACCAATTCTGTATTTTTGCATTTCCTCACATGTAAAACTCTGCAAGAAGGTTCTGTTTCTCCAACCAATTGATCGACAAATAAGATTATTGTGATTTTTGTAAGAAATCTTGCACTTTGCATGTATTGAGTTTGAGTTTTGACCCGCCTGCCTTCTTGGTTCCTCTTTCCATATAGTTATGAACTCTTTTGTCGTGATATGTAAAGGCATTGTTGACTCATTTTTCTATTCTAATTTGTTTCATGTTTGCTATCTTAAAATTTCTGTTTCTCATACTTTATTGTCCTTATTGTGGGCTTAATTTGGAGGTCTCTGAGCTACTGGAACTGGTGTCAAATATTAGTATGAAAAATGTTCTTAATTTCAAATGGGACCTTAAATGTCAAGCTTGTTTTCCCTACTCTACCACCCTGTTATTTACATAATTGGCCATGTTCACCACAAACAGTTGAGTTACATAGTGGGTAGGCAATTTGCGAAAGATTTGGCTTTCATAATTTTTTATCCAAACTAGTTTAATAGAATATGGGAACAGTATGACCACTTAGTCTCATTATCAATGATTAGACTTGAAATCTATTTTGCAAAGACATGGATATGCCTATCAACAACTAACATGAACACTCGTATCAGGAATGCCAACCCCAAAATTGGCCCATCAGACATGGCACATCTGCATATTATTTATAGAGACATGGGATTTGAGGTGACGCTAGGTAATTTCAGGGTAAGATATCAACTATAAACATTAAAAAGTGTCTAAGCTTCTCAAGGATCAGGCAGGAGTATCATGTCCTTTGACATGCATAAAAAACTATGGATGTTCGTGTGCATGCTACATATCTTGAAATTCAACTTATAATATGCTTGAGCAACAAAATAATCCTGCTAATTCAGGAGTATGCAATCCATTTCATTCATTTACCAAAAAAGTCGAAAAAGAAAAATGATTTGGCTTATAAATGAAAGAAATAAGCAAGCCAACTTAAAAGAGACATTTACTCCTTTATTGTTAGTTGTTGCCCAATAGAAACATGTGAACTAGGAATATTATCTCACAATCAAGAAAGCTCCTCACTCCAAGTAACTAACCTACACAATAAAGATACATTAAAAAAATAACCAACACAATAAAAAACTAACCATCCTAGCTTCTTAGGGTGTTCAAATTATGGGGTATGTGCATCTGGGATAGATGGGGACTAGGGGGAATCCTAAACCCAATCCATACTAGGGGTTAGAAAAGGATATGATAGGGTTACAATTGTAGTTTAATTGGGTTGGTTCTTTGGTATCAATCATGGTTTAGGATAAGTATCAGGGTTAAAGAAGTCAGAGGCCTGGAGCCTTGTGTACCTATAGAGTCTCCATGGTGATGGACGAGAGCTATGGATGTTTGAGATCTAATAGAGGTTCTCTAGCAGATAAACTTATCATAGTTTTCATGTAGACAACCTCATAATGTGGATGGAAGTGGACTTCTTTTAGGCTTTGGGGGCTTGAGTTACCAGTTCTTTAAAAACCAGAAAAGTTTGGAACAAGCTGGTTACATCATATATGGAGAAGGGAAGGGGTTGGGACTGGGTGCATCATTTTTTCACGAGCCTGCCAAATCACAATAAATGAGTTGTCTTCCACTTGAACATGCTGAAAGGGGCTCGTCCTAGTAAGATGGAGGGTTGAGAATTTGGGGAAAGTAGCAAAAAAAGAGAAAGAACAGATTTACCAATAAGATTAACAACAACCAAGAGCCATTGGAGCCAAGAGAGAGAAGGGTTTGGAAATTTCCAAACCTTAATGCCTCTTCTTTGTTATTAGAAGTATTTGTGACATTGCATTTTCTGCAGATGCACAATTTCTGGGTGAGTCCATTGAATTACATTGATTGTGTAGCCTTTCATGACTAAAGGGTGTCAATCATTGAGAAAACCCTCCAAAATGCCACTAAGAGAGTTTTCATTTCTCAACCAGCTCCTCCCTAGCTAATGTGGCATGTGAAAGTTGCAGCGACCGCCTTACTATTTGTTGGGTTTCTGGTATCAAATCACACTCCAAGTTACTTTTGGGCCTTCCTTTCTTTCTTTAGTGGTAATTTTTTGTCAATGCCAGCATCACTTAAAGCCGAGCTCTATAAAGCACCTTTAGTGAGAGAAAGGGGTGTGGGAGAAGCAGCAGCATTGGTGATAAGTTACATTCTTAAGCATTTGTGATCATTTTCATTCTTTTTTAGAACCAGAGCAATGGTGAGGGTGTCAAAAAAGGATATTGTTCGATAGTGTATCTCCATCTTGATATTGAAACCACACGCCTGTTTTATCAACGTAATCATGCTATTCATTTGTTTTGGAAACTAAAAAATTTAAGCACCACAACACTCTCTTTAGCTGAATAATCTTCATGAGCATCATACTATACCCATCTTTCTTTGTGCATCTTTTACTCATACAGACTCCACTTTCTTTAACTCAAATCAGCCTTGAGTTCTGAGGCCATTTTCATGCATGACATGCCTTATATGTGACCCTTATTACACACCTACAAATGCAATTGGTGCTCGATCTCTTGTCCTCGGTATCCCTTGCATAACTGATGTACGTGGAGCCTTTCAATTGCTCAAAGCAATACTTCTCGTACTTTTCAAATACCAAGCCCACTCACTTACATTCAAAAATTTCTTCCTAAGTTAACTACAAGACAAACAACAAGCATCACAACCATACTTATCGGGATCTCTCAGAATAGGTGGCGACCCTGCTCTGCAATCTCGCCCTAGTGCTCCAGGAAAGGGATCTTCAAGGATCTCGATATCTAGATTTTGGGATCTCGAATCTTGATCCCTACTGCTAAGGATCTCGATTCCGCTTCTTAGGGATCTCGATCCCAACCTTAAAGACCAAGACAACAACCAAACTAATGATTTTCTTTATGTTATAATCAATTAGCAACACATCTATACTTTTAATGTAGTTGCATTTCTTGCTGGCTATGAATAAAGAGCTCCCTACTTTAAAGAGTATATATAGTCTTAGACCCAAAATAGTTTGGATAAGGCTCAAATGATGATCATGATATAATCCTAGACTGTACATACTGCTTAAGTTTGGGCGCAAGGACACAAAGGGTTGGGATCAACATTCCAAAAGTTTGGGACCAAGATCCCAAAAGGTTGAGATCTCAATCCCTAACATTTGGGGATCTAGATCCCTAATGTGTGCATTGTGCAGATGACGCTCCTTACCATAGGGATCTTCTTGTATTTCATGATCCCCTGCTCCCGCTCTTGATCTTGATCCCAACAACTATGGTAACGAGTAATCCCACTCAAGTAGCATTCGGGGTTTCTGAGTAGCAGAAAAACCCCTATCTCAAGTTTCCCCTAAATCTAAATACTAACCTTCCCCCACCCCTCTCTTACTACATGTGCTTTATAAAGTTCCCCTTCAAGTGGTGATTTCATTCTCCTATTTTTGTGATGATCATCACCCCCTTAGAGCTATAAGTTTATTGTCCAATTGTTGTTATGATTAACGGGGTTTCCTATCATTGTCGTTTTGGGATCTTGATTTTGACCTTTTGGGAGATTGATCCCAACCCTTTGGGTCCTTACTCCCAAACTTAAGAGTATGTATAGTCTAGGACTATATCATCAAATCATCATTTGAGACTTATCCAAACTAATTGGGGTCTAAGACTATATATACTCTTTAGAGTAGGGAACTCTTTAATTATAGCCAACAAGCAATGCAACTACATTAAAAGTATAGTTGTGTTGCAAACTGACTATAAATAGAGAAAATCATTAATTTGGTTGTTGTCTTGGACTTTAAAGTTGGGAACAAGATCCCTAACAAGAGGAATCAGGATTCCTAGTAGTGGGGATCGAGATCCCAAATTTAGTTATCGAGATTCTTAAAGATCCCTTTCTTGGAACATTGGAGCGAGATTCTGGAGCAGGACCGCCACCTATGTTGGGAGATCATATTTTTGTGATGATTTCATTGTCCTATTATTGTAATTATTAATGGGATTTTCTATCCATTTATTTAAAGGGCGCCTACAAGAATGGAGTGCCTTTACAAACCTTTTAAGAGAAACAAAAGGATTTTTTTTCTCTTTAACTCTTTTGAGTGAAAAGCACTACAAGGTTTGGGTGGGGTGCAAATAACGCCGAATGAGAAACGAGCAAAGTAATGTACACATTGAGGTTGAGGTTGGGTTCAAGACTGTAAATTTGGACGTGTTTAGGGCCAAGTGTTCTTACAAATGGTCTTCTTTGGCCCTACCATATTGAATAGTAGTCGTATTTATGATCATATATATGGATCCTTTAACCTCTGTATCCAACATAGCATATCTCTTACTCTGCATGTGTTAGTTGTTGCTTGATTTCCCAGCTCACCGAGCATCTTCTTATACTTGTCTTCAATCTATATATCTCAAAATGAACTTGAACTTTGATGTGGAATACGTGAACAAATGAAGCAATCACTGTCTTCTTGAGGCCCCTGACATGTATAGGGTCCCCATTTTAAAGTACTCTCGTATCATATTCCCCACTCATGGAGGTCTTAGGTGGGTAACTTGGTATAACTGCTGTTGAAGTTGAACTTGAGTGAACCTCCACAAGAAGGGGTTGCCCATAGGGCACATAACTTTTAAGACTTCAAGTGTCAACAATCTTATCTCTCATACCAAGTTCTCATTCCACAAACTTCCTTTGAAACATGGGCACGTAGTTTCCGGGAACGCCTAATTTGGTAGGCGATCCCTTCTGGGATCTCGATCCTAAGATCCGATCAGAGAACTTCCAGGTATCACTTTTTTGGAATTAAGGATCGAATCTCGATCCTAATTTTGGAATTTAGGATCGAATCTCGATCCTAAGATCCGAATAGAGAACTTTCGTGGATTACTTTTTTTGGAATTTAGGATCTTGATCCCTTTTTCAGGGGAACGAGTTCCGTTAATCATGTGTTTTGAATTCCCGGCTTCTTTGGGATCTAGATGGTGAATGATAGGTTTCTTAGTCCCAAGAGTCGTGGGATCCAGATTTTATTGCATTGTAACACAACGATGACCATATATTGTATCCAGATTCTATTACAATATTTTATGATAATTTAGAGTTTTACTCACTACATAAATCATCCCCCACGATCCTCCATTATGAATGCCGTGCTACCTTGGTGTGCAATCCATTATTTAATAAATAATAATAAAAAGCAAACTATTTCATGCATATATAGTTTTGGGCTATACTTTATCACATATGATTTTGTTGTTCCTATTCAACGAAAAAGATAGCTACACAAAGTTGGGTTCTTTACAAAAATAATACTGCACAAACTATAAAATTCGTAACTTACTAAATGAACTGATTTTTAAATATATTAATCTAACAAACTATGGAATAATTTAAAGTTTCTTAATTCGTATTTATTTAATCGAATTTGCAGAGTACATATAATTAGTTCAAGAAATTTGAGAACTAGGGCCTTGTTTTCTAACCCCAGGGAGCCTCTATCTTATGGCGGTTCAGCATTCCCTGAATTGATCCCGCTTCTGCCTCTAACAACTATGTGTTGTGTTGCACTCAGGTTGTGGATTAGGGACTGAAATTTAAAGTGCTCTTAGGGACCTCGATTTTTAACTAGATGGAGTTCGGTACTATACGGTTCAAAACCCAGATCGTTGGGGTGGATCATCTAACCGATAGATCTGTGGTGGCTCGTTGGATCAGCTATCTGGATTGGTCTGAATTGGTGATATCGAAAAGTACTAAAAATTGAAAACTAAAAATTTAAATGGGGGTTTATGGGGTGGGGATTTTGGGGGAACTAATAAAAGAAAAGCTTAAAAAAACAAAGAAAAAATAATCAAAGGAGGGCTTTTGAAAAGGGATTGTATAACATGAGACCATTTACCTTTATTACAAGGAGGTCACAATTGCTACTGGCCATTAAATGTTAAATTGGATGGCTTGGGTTGTGTCACAAAGTTTGAGAATTTTTTTTTTAAACTTTGAGTTTAGTCAATGACACACACAAAACCACCCGATTTGAAGTCTGAAGGGTAAGAGTGATTGTGACCTCCTTGTATTAAAAGTAAATGGTCTCTTTGTATACTTTTCCTTTTAAAAAAAGAGGGGGACGGGGGGTGCTGGGCCTGATACCTTATCAGAACCAGTTCTGTCCCGCCAATTCCTTGTTTGGATTAGCAATTCCTGATCCAGATTGTAGGGTTTTAAAACATTGACCATGCATAATTTATTGTTCTATCCCGATTAAGTTTGGATCGAGATCCTTAGGCGTATGGACTGCGATCCCCACCATAGGGATCTTTCTGCTTATTAGATTCTACGGTCCTGATCCCAATATCGTATCTGATTTTATCCCATTCTCGGTAACTATGGTTTTTAATCATATTGCATCAATTGGGTTGGACTTGCATTCTTTTCGACCAATGTGCCCTATTTTGTTGCCAGACACAGGTTCTAGACTCTAAGGATGCTTGCCATTTTAACTGATTATTGTTGTCCATGGGTTGACGATGGGAATTTTACACATGGTTTTGATTTCATTTGCACAAATGGCCTAGTCGCTTGATAGTTCAACAATTATGGGTGCTTACTTATTTACCTCATCTCAACCAGATGGAAATCGAGCAGGAGCAGCAGGTGCAGCTGATACAACCAAGTGAGTTTTATATTTTAGCTATGACTGTTACCCCCAAATATACTCCTAATATTAAGAAGGCTTCTTGTCTTGCATATTTTAACTAGAAGGAGGGAGGCAAGAAGGGAGGGATGAAGCTGATATTTTCATTACTGGCTGAAACCAAAGTTTCTTGGGAGTTGGGGCAAAACCATAAGAAATAAATTAAAGCTGACAACTGGCCAAAATTTCGGTTAAAATCGGCTCCTTTTCTTTAAACCTTACATGGGATTTGAACATGAAAACTTGGGTGCTTGACTAAGAGCTTGGAACCACTGGGCCATGGGGCTTTCCCAATTATTTGCTCCAATTTTTGTTGATTTGACCAAAACATGGTGGGACTTGGCTGAGATTCAGTCAGGCAAACATTTACATTTCACTTTTTCTCCATTTTCATTGATTTAATCTGAGTTTTCGCTACGACCAATTTCAATCCCAATTTCCTTGGAATATGGTGTATTAGTTATTTCATTTTCACATCAAATTTTCTTAAGTTTCCAATGAAATTCAGTTGCATTTTAGCACCGAACTTGGCACAGCGGCTACCCTGTACCATTTTTCTCTTTTTTAATTTTCTTTTTGGCCCTGTTATTTATAATTTCTGGGTGCTATTTTTCTATGGTAATTGTTACAGGAGAGAGCTTCTGAGGGCAATTGATGTGAGGCTCATGGCAGTCCAGCAAGACTTAACCACGGCCTGTGCTCGAGCAGCTGCTGCTGGCTTCACCCTTGAGACTGTCTCTGAGCTACTACTCTTCGCCGAACGTTTTGGGGCGTACAGATTGAAGTAAGGTTCTGCTTTGAGTTTTTAATTTTGAGAGGGAATGGTATGCGATATAAAACCGGGGTATGGTATGTGCTATACACAGGCTGTGTATGTGTGGTGGCCAGGAAATTCAGAGTCTGCTCTCACCCACTGGTGGTGGAGAGTGACCATATCTGGGTGTTTCCATTGTTGGAGATGGGGATAATCGACTGGTGTTAATCTTGATAGTCTGCCAGACAGAGTAGACAATGGATACCCCAGATGTGCTCTATGTGCCACATACAAGGCTGTGTGTGTGTATGGCAATCATTAGAAAATCAGAATTCGGATCTCACTCAGTTGTCCCCTTGAAATCCGAGTCAAATCGCCGATGCTGGTCTGGATTTCCTTGTTGCGATCTAGCTCTAAATAATTAAGAGAATTTAAACAAAACCCAAAAATTTTAAAGAGATTTTTAATCCAAACTTTAAATATTTCTTTTTTTAAAAACCTATGTTTGAATTAAAAATCGTTTTTTTTTTTTAAAAAAAAATTTTAAACCTGAATATAGAGGTTGTTTTAATCAATCTCAGTGATTGAATCAAAATCGATTTAACTGTGAATGAAAATCGTTTGGATTTTGATTAAAAATACATGTGATTTTCAAAAAGAGAGGTTGTAGGAAGTAACAATTGTTCTAATCAAAACTTAATGATTTTGGATCAGATATTGTTTTAAGTGATTTAATGATTTCAACAAAATCGTTTATATCAAAAGTTCGAATCGAAATTTTTAATGATTAACAAAGAAAACCTTTAAAATGAATTGAAATCAGAATTTTTGCTGATATCTATCTGTTTTTGCTCTGATTTTAGGGTCTTTTTCATCCTACTTTTCCACCATTATTTTCACACTTTATTTCTTCCATCTTTAATTTTTGGGCAGACGAAGAAAACCCCAAAAGGAAATAATTATGGGGTGAGTGAAAAATACTTAAGGAGTCGATTTTTGACTTTTATGTCTTCGATCTTTACCCCAAAATGGGGGTAATTTTCTATCTGTACTTGTTTGACACTTGCGTGAAAATTTAACATGGAGAATTTCATCAATTTTTGGAAAATCTGGCAATTCCCAAATTTAGGCAAAAATCACCCTGTTTGCTATAGTCAACATGGTGATTTTGGACAAATTGCCGCAGTTCACCAGTTCAGCCAAAACTGGCCAGTGAGCGGCTGAACGATTATGATCTGGATCAGCGATTTTATCAATTACCGGTGTGTAGTATTGCTTTGTGGGGTGAACTATGTGATACACAGCCCATGTTTGGTGCATATCATACGTACTTTATGAGTTACGGCTGGGGAGTCCACAATCTGTTCTCAAAGATTGATGGTGGGGATTAGCTGTATCTTTCTGAATATTCGTCTATAAGACTAGGGTTCATGGGCAGTCAGTTTTTTAAAACTGACCATGGTATCCCCCAGCTGTGATCTACGTATCATACTGTGCCGTTTATCGTAACATTTCAAGTTTTTGTGTCGACTGATCTTGGAATGCTATTCGTAGTTTCCATGGAAAACGTAGACCACATGACTGGAGGAGTTATTCAAAATTTTCAAGGGTTAAAACTGGAGTTTGTTAACAATCAAAGAAATAAAAATAGAGTTTGTTAAAGGACTGTATATTATGCAACATGCAGTATGCTATTCCCATACAACATTTAGTCTCCCCAGTTTGCCCTGTATGATGGTCGTTGCAGTGAACAGTTCTTCTTGAGATGACAATGACAGGAACGTTTCTTGTCTCGACTGTCAGTTAAGGGTGGATACTTCATGTAGTATACAAACAATTCACTTCATGTAAAGCACTCTAATATTCCATGAATTTGGCAAAAAGAAAATAAATACTATGAATTTCCCTTCGAATTTTATCGAATCCGAGCTTCTGAGGCCTTTCAGTAACGAAGTTAACCGAAAGTCTGTCTCTTTCAAGATTCAATTCAAAATTATACGGGCATTAAGCTGGCTGGCTTCTTTGAAGGCTCCTTTGGCTAAGCTGATAAGAAATTTGACTAAGAATATGATCCCCAAAAAAAATAAATTGCAGTACCCTTAGCTATATATTCCAGGGGGTTGCAAGTTTTGTATAGACTTTTGGAAAGCAGGGAATCTAAACTAGGATTTCCATTGAGTGTTAATGCGTTTTCAGTGTTTTAAAATGGGGCATGTAGAGTGCTCATGCTCATGCACCTGCACGGGTGTGCTTGTGCAGCAGGGTAAGTTACTGGACATTTCTGCCTTCTAGGGCAATTTATCAAAACACCTAAGAGAGCACATTGCAGCTATTTGTATTTTTGGCTAAGTCAGTGGGGATGATGAGTTTTTACCCGTTATTGAAAGGAAAAATATACAATCAAACCATTTATCTTTAGTACAAAATGTTCACAATTAATAATGGCTATTGGATGTGAAATTTGGTGGCTACATTTATTGTATTGACTAAGCTCAAAGTTCAAAAGAAATTTTTTCGAACTTTGTGACACATTTAAGCTATTAGATTTCACATCAGATGGTTATTAAGTAATTTTGACATCCTTATATATAAATAGCCGTATACAATCTTTTTTTAAAATGGTCAAATTTTTATTTATTTGTGAGAATGTAGGTTGAGACTTTTAAACTGGGGCTTAATTTGAACCACCACCATGACCCAACCCCGATTCTCATTGCAGCTAATTCAATCATGATCTTGTCATTTCATGGGTATTTGGAAATAAAATTAAACACTATACGTCATGGCATTTTTGGTAAATTTCCCATTGGCATGGGAAACAATAGCCTCTCTCACGCTCTAGCATGCAGGGAAAATTCTATCATGCTTCTTTTCTCTCTGCAAATTGGGGTTGTGGACCTCGTCAATAACCTACCCTCAGAGAGAGAGAGAGAGAGAGAGAGAGAGAGAGAGAGAGTACACTAGTAACTTACGAGGAGGTCGGTACGTACTTAAGTTTAGTACTACGTAGAACGAAAGTACTCTACTAAGTACGACTAATACGTTACGTTTCGGTTT